TGTTAGGTAATTTTGACTTTATTTAAGCTCTCTGTTTGCTCTCCACATACAATTTTAGCTCATTCATATCTTCAGATAATGAGTTTCCTAATCCTATTACCTGTTGCATGATATAATCTATCTTTGTAATTGTCTTAAATTACCTTAGCAGTGTGTGGATTTAACTGTCAGAACATGCATGCTTTAAAAAATTGTGTATATCCTGGAGAGTTGACTTCCATAATTTTTATGCTACTAAATACCCCCATGTTTTTTCCTAAATTAAAAAATTCTAAAAAGACTGATTTCATAGATTTAGATAAAGTATTAAGCTGGTGGAGTGATATTCCATGTGGCTCAAGTTTAAAGACAATATTGCTACCCATTAAAATATAAATAAATTACTTCTGCCTATCTAAAGACAGAGCATACAAATTTTATAGTGAAAGATACAGTAAAAAGAAAACATTGCAAACTGCATCCTTTGTGTTTGACCACTTGAAAGCTTCAAACTGAAACCTGCATTTTCCAAAATTTAAATTCAAATCCTTCCTTCCTGTATCCCTGTATTTTTCTATCCCGTATGTCGGACATTTAGACAAAAACATTAACCATAATAGAAATTAACTGTGTCCTAAACATGGCAGAAAGTACTATAGAATTCATTAGACTACTCTTGAATGGGACAGTGAAGCCCACAAGCAAAGGCAACAGCAAAGCAAAGCCCGAACACTCCATTAAATGGGCACTTCACGGTTTCTGCTTTGAATCAAGTACATCAGCATACCTTATATGGGGCTAGGGTTGACACAAAGGTCTTGGCTTTTGTCTCTGCTTCAGAGATACAGGTCCGGTCCTTGCTGTTCTTGAGACAAGATCTAGACATGTGGCTCATGTGTGATGATCCTCAGGTGTGAGGTGATCCTCCTGTGTCTTCCGCAGGATGCTGGGGTTATAAGTGTGCATTATCTCATTTTGTGGACTCATAATAAATGTATACTTGATGATTACAAACTTTTCCAACATTAAGTTATATCAATACACAATAGTTTAATAAAAGAGACTAGTTTCTTGTGATATAAATACTTCCAGCTTAGGTCTGAAGTTAATAGCATTCAGAAAATATCTGTAGGCTTTCTTTCATTAACATCATTTTTATCTGTATCGGAAAGTATGAGGTGAAAAAATTTAACAGTATCTCTAAATGTGGTATTATTTTAAATGTCGAATTATTTCAGATGTTTTCTAGAGTGACATACAGATGATGTTTCGCTTTATAGGTGATTAACTAGTAAACAACTGACCTCATTTCATTTTCCGTGGAACAAGATTCGGTTCTGGCTGGGTGCAGAAGAGGCTTAGTGTGACACCTCAGGAGTATTCTTGGAATCATCAGCAGTCTCCTCCAGCCATTAGCACATTATCTTGAGACTCTACATCATTAGTTTAAATTAGGTTCACTTAATTAGCCAGCTGGTACTCTCCTTGTCAGACTGGTAAACAAGCTGTGCTCCACTGTTTCCTCATCTCAAGTCTCAGCCCTTCTTCTGGGTCTTTCTGCTATTGCCATTGTTCCTCCCTAACTAACTGAACCATCTTCACAGAATCTGCTGCGTCTTGTCCGTGAGCAGTACACTGTATACTTAGATTTTTGCATTTGTTGTACTTACCCAAGAAAGACCGATGACTCATTTTATCACTTACGTATATTAATACTATTCTCTACTGGTCAATAAAGACATAAACACACATAAAAATAAATTTACCCTCAAAGCATATATGGTATTTGCCTTTCAACACTGTTTTTTATAATATTACAAGATGAAAGATTCTGTCGATGCCCTTATAAAGCTATAGTGCATCAAATGAAATCCTTTGTTTTACTGCTGCATATTCCGTGTATTTTCAGTGATGTTTACAAAACAAGTAGGAGATGAGTTTAGCTCAGCCCAGCATGGTAGCACTAAGCATAGTAGTTACATGACAAACCATTCTGGAGCCTGAACATGTAGGACAATAACATGCTTTGCTGCTTGAAAAAATATCGCAGTAAAGGTTAATATTTCAACAGAATTCCAGACAATGGGTTGCAGTAGAATTTTCTATATAAGATCAGACAATGCACAGAAATAAATGTTCATAAAATCTAGTATATTGTCAGGAAAAAAAATAACCTACAATAGCCTAGTCAGAAAAGTTTATTAAGTTGATTATGGTTGGTTCCTTCATTTTTGTTTAAAGAGAGGTTCTTTCCAGAATTATATGATACTTATTTGATTCTGGAGGCTTCTATTGGAAGAGTCTGACAAAAAAATCCAGGAAAATAATATCTATAGGCTAATGTAAATAATGCTAAAGCACAATGTAGAACTCAGCACAGGCTGAATTTGGGAGATAAGCATATGCTAATACACCACATTCCGGGCGTCCGTCCCAAATCACTGTCTTTTAACAAATATCATTTTCATGAAGTGAGAAGAGGTCGGTTGACCTTAGAAGCAAAAGAACATAAAAAGTAATGTGTGCAGGTAGGTATATCAACTCTGTGTTCCTCCAGCCTTATGAAGGTCATGAATCCCAAATAGGTATGAAAGTGACCCAACACATTTGGAAATGCAGTGATGTCAGTGTCAAGCATTCAGACACTCTAGGTGGCATCCACTGCATGAACTCTTGAGTTAGAAGACGAGAAGACATTTGTTTACACTTGTTTATATCATTTGACGGAGAATCCTATTATACTTTAAAACTATTTCTTCTAAGGACCAATAATGAAAGTTAAGAATGAAGCCCACCCCTACATAAGTCTATTAGAAGAATTAAAATTTTGAAAGTCTTTCTTATATGTACTCATAAAAACATGCGAAGAGTGTAGTCATTTTTGGTAAATAGAACAATTTTAATTTTCTCAGCAGAAATTAACTTTCGCATGCTGCACAATTTGGCAGTTGCTTATTCTCCCAGGAATACTGGCAGTCACGCCTACAAAATGTTTAGACTCTCTTAAGCTAAACTCTGCATCACAGGTTCACGGGTTTAGTTTTGGTAAATAAATAAATACATATACTAAGTACTACTTTTCAAAAACAGATATCCATGCTTTGTAAACAATTAAATTTTCAAAGTATATTTACAGCTGCTTTGTAAAGATTCAACATGTGAGATTTATTTTTTCTGGAACTGATGGTGAGAACTGAGAGTAGAAGTGTTTTCACTGACAGCCTGCATACAGGAACCTCTCAAGGAGGTAGCCATCTTCAAATAAACATGTCGAATTATACTAAGTCCACACAAATCCCTTTAGTCTGTAAGTCCTTTAAAGAATGACACTGCAGGGCTGGAGAGATGGCTCAGTGGTTAAGAGCATTGCCTGCTCTTCCAAAGGTCCTGAGTTCAATTCCCAGCAACCACATGGTGGCTCACACCCATCTGTAAAGAGGTCCGGTGCCCTCTTCTGGCCTTCAGGCATACACACAGACAGAATATTGTATACATAATAAATAAATATTTTAAAAAAAGGATGACACTGCACTCTTTTATTTTCTCCTATATCTTGATTATTATAACACTTTAATATTAATACCATGGTCATAAAAATAACTCAACGCTTACTAGTGTGCACCCATCTATACACTACAAAGTGGAACTAGGGGCTCCTCGAAGAGCATGCTAAGGAAACAGTCTACCAAGTGAGTAAGCTGTACTGCAGCTGAGTTCCTACAGTAGTTTATTAATAGTAGTTCAGTAGTGCTTAATATTTATTTGCTAGGCAAAGATATCCATTACCTATTCTAATAGTCACAGGAACTTTTAAAAGTAGGTATTAGTTCTATTTTATGAGAAAAAATAAGCTTAATGCCTTCCTACGGTCTTGCGATTTTAAGAGATTTAGAAGGGTTTTAGAATAACTATTCTCAAACATGATGTTTCCTGTGTCTCCCTGGCTCTGCACTGTATATAGTACTTCTTCTAGACACACAGCTTCCGATATAGGAATCTTTTTGAGTTGCTGTTCATGTTCCAAAGTAGAGCAGTGTCTCACAAATGTTCATATATATTTAAAGTATAAATTGGAAGACATAGGCAGAGTGTCTGTGTTCATAGAGGTTGTGATCATAATGGGAATAGTACAGTATCATGTACATGAGGTAGATGACCTCTGATGCAACAGCCATGGGTTTCTTACCCCTATGGATGGCTGTACATCCATGTAAGGTATTAGCTAGAAAAGGCTCTGTAACAGCATAAGCAGTGTCTAAGTTCTATCAAAGTGGAAATTCCCATTATAATCTCTTCTTGATCTTAAGCAAACATTCCCAAGCCTTCATCATTTGTCCTATCCTATTATTAAAAACCAAATATCTAAAAGGTTTTCCTGGTTGTTGCTGTTGTTTACACTAAGCTATTTCTCTAACAATCTGGTGACCTGATGATTATTCTGTTTAAGACAGCATGCAAACAAGGCTGTTATAACCACATATACATCAAGTTTAAAATATAAAAGAAGATAGAAAAAGCCAAAGGACCCTTCCTGCTTTTCACCATTTCACTGATAATAGCCATCTCTTTTGTTGCTCACAATAAGAAGTTATGTATTAATGCATGCTAAATTTTAAATGAAACATCTGTCATTGATCCAAAGAAGCTATGTAAATCTAATAATAGCCATCCTATGAGTAATAAAACTAGTTAATTGCTTTTATAATGCCAAATCTAGTGGTTTCTTTCTATGTGTTTATGCTGCAACTGAAGTTCATTAATGAAAATTGGGGCTTTTTTTTTTCTCCTGCTACCTCCTCAACTATTGCCTATTTCTACGTGAACTTAGTATTTCATCAAGTCAAAATAGCCTTGGAAACATGAAAGAACATTCTCTCACGATAGCCTTCAAAGCAAGAGGGGCATGAAAAATAGGTCAAGGAGGTTGTTCCATGGCTGTCTTGGTTTATGAAGTACCGTATTGTTCTCCAAAATTGTGGACCCACTTAGTGGTTATGATTTTCAATTGTTCTCTATTACAGGCAGTGAGCACAGATCCTGTACCAGTTAAATTACACTATGACAAGTCACATGACCAGGTCTGGGTGCTGAGCTGGGGCAGCATGGAGAAGACATCACCAACTCTACAGGTAATATGGCATGAGAGTCGAGGAAGTGATGGCTTTTAAACCTTTAGGTATCTCAGAGATGTCCATGGCTGTACAACTGATATTCTTTATGGGAACTGTGGTTCAATTGCTGTCTATGCATAGGAGCAAAAAAAAATGTTTAAAACTCAAGTAGTTATTGTAGACCAGGATGATCACAGATAATATTTATTAAAGATTCCATTAATATGGTAAAAATGAATGACAGTAAACAAATAATGCCATTAGAAAAAGAAACCTTATAATTTACCTTACTCTGTATGCTGTTGCTGTAACAGAGCCTCTGAACTATAAGAACGTACTGGCAATTTCTGTCAAGAACCTCAAATGATGCAGCAAAGCATGGGTACCAGAGAAGGTTTAGTGATATAACTGAGCCACATCCTCAGTAACCATCCACCCATTAATAGACAGGTAAGGACGCACTTGAACTGTGGCCTTGCTTCAGTGCTCTCAGTGAGGCCTTGAGCTAGAGAGCATAGAATCTGACCACCAAAGTAAAGGTTGTTCTATCGTCTTTAGCATCTAGAGTTGGTAATATGAGTTCAGGCTTACTTCTCATTGGGGGATGTACTGTGTTAGTCTTGGGACAACTGTCTCTTTTTGAGGTCATTGACGTGATGACTTCACAGAAGCATAGGCAGAGAGAAATCAGGTGACTGTGACCTTGTGCCACAGCCTTCAGATCTTCAGAGACAAGGTTAAGCGGAAGAGGGTGGTTGCTGGAAGTTTGTTGTGAACTACTTCCTCACACTGCCTGCGAACACAGCATTACCTGGAGTGTGCCGCTAATGTAGAGCCCTAAATCACCAAACTTTTTGCATATGTGTAAGGTAGGTTAGATGCAGTATTTTGGTTCCCAAGTAGTTGTCACTAACAGTCTTTTGAACGTTTCTGAGTATTTTTCAAATTTTATTCAAATGCTAGAATTCTTGAGATGAATTAATTTAATAAGCTATAATAAAGATAGTTCATTTTATATTTAGAAATGACATTTTAAATGTCAGAAACACAGTATATTATCTTAGTTCCCTATTTTACAGCTTGAACCATTCTAAAACTTCATATTTTAAACTATGAGTACCCTAGACTTAAGCTGAACTAGCTATCTACTTTTGTGAAGTAGCAGCCATTTGGGCTATATGCAGGTGAGATGTATATATGACAATATGGCTCCAGTCACCACTGTCCCACTGGCTCTTTCCAGGTCCATCACACACGTCGCCTCTTCCTGATCTCCTGCCATTGCTTCCCTCTTCCTGAGCTTTTGCTCTTGCTTCGCCTCTTTCTGAGCTCTTGCCCAAAAGCCAGATATCTGCACAGTCCAGCACTTTCAGAAGACAAGAGTGGAAGCTCAAGGGGACTTACTTAGCATTTGGGCTAGTATTCACAGTCACTCTTGCCACATCTCATTAAGTCCAGTAAAACCTCTCTCTTTATCACAGGGAAGGTGTAGGAAAAGAAAGCAGCTTATTGCTTCCTGGCCACTTAGCGCTGAAATAATCACACAAAAACTACATTAATTAAATCACTAGTTGGTCCACTAGCTCTGGCTTCTTATTGGCTCACTCTTACATATTAATTTAACCAGTTTCTATTAATCTGTGTATGGCCATGTGGCTGTGGCTTACCAGCTAAAGTTCCGGCATCTGTCTCCAGTGGGGCTACATGGTGTCTCTTCGACTAAGTCCTTCTTTCTCCCAGCATTCAGTTTAGGTTTCCCTGCCTATGTCTATTCTACCCTATCAGCCCAAGCCAGTTTTCTTTATTCATTAATGGTAATCACAGCATACAGAGAGGAATCCCACATCAGGACGGAGACTGATCAACACCACTGCACCCTTCACAGTGGAAGACTTCAAAGGTGATATATGGTCAGACAAGGAAATAGTACTAATTATTGGAGACTAATCTTGACAATACAAAACAACCCAACATGTCCAACATGTGTGGCTATAAAATTATGTATTTCTGGGGTGGTTAATAGCTCTGACTTTTCTCCCAAAGGATATATGCTCTGTTTCCAGCACCAACATGGCCACTTTATACCATCTGCAACTCTAGTCCCAGTCAACCTAATTTCCTCTTTTGGCCTCCATGTGTACTTGGAGCATGTACATGCATGGCAGCAAAATATCATACATATAAAATTATATATATATATATTTGTGTGTTATATATATTTATATGCCTACAAAATATTTTAATGCTATTGTTTTAATTGGTTTTAAAACTTTAGAATTACTTTTACAAGCTTGAATACTTTTTTTTTTTAAAAAAGCAGCAAGTGTTTTTAATGTATTTTTGGTTACTGTTTGTCATGTGTTTTTTGTTTTAATCAATTACTTCATTTCTCTTTTAGTTTAGCTACTCGGGTGACTAAAACAACAAGTTTTGAAATGGTGACAATACTTTTTATTTAAAACCTTAAATATTATACCGACCACTGCCTCTAAGACTTCGTAGGCATCCTAAGTAATTTTATCCACATTATTTGGTCAATGAAAAATGACGACTTTGTTTTTCTCTGACTACATAATAAAACTCTTTAAGGTATAGAATATAGTGATTTTAAAACAAATTTCTAAGTAGGAATTAGACCATATGTGAAAACATAAAATAAAAGGAAGAAAGTAAGAATAAGGAAAGTTTCTATCACAGTAGTTCATATAAGAAAATTTTATTTTTATATAAAGATAAGCTGATTGGAAACATGTAGATTGCAGAAAGATTATATATATATATGTGTGTGTGTGTATAAAAAAGATTATGCTGGCTGGATTGATATACAGATAGACAAATGATAGATGGGTGGAAGATAGATAGATAGATAGATAGATAGATAGATAGATAGATAGATAGATACACACAGAGACAGACAGACAGACTTTGGAATGTCACATCTTGGCTCTCATGAGACCAAATGCTAGTGTCTTGAGATCAATTAACCCTTAAAAGCTCCAAAGCACATATATCAGGTCATCATTCCTTGAGTGGCTTACCAGTGCCCTTTCCTAAGAAAGCCATGACTTTTCAGAAATGTCCAATAATCATGGAAATCTATCACTCAGTAGGATTTTTATGAATCATGTGCAAAGGACATAGGATTTCAGATGTGTGAAAGGTGGGATGAATGGTTCTTTTGAGAAACTATAATCGAAACAGTGGGCAGGCCCTCATGGTAACACTTGTGTTTTGCATCATGTCAATTACAGAGCCTGCTGGTGAGAGCCAGGCACTGGGCTCTGAAGGCTGAGGAGTCTTTGCTACATACAGCACAATGTTTACACTGGCACCCATTCACTCAGGAAGGTGCAACAGCTTTCACTCAATAATAGGAAACACTCTGTATTAATTTTATATTTTCAAGCTATTTTTTGACATGTACATTTTTGATAAATTTTCAGGAAAATTATTTTTGATAATTTTACTATTAAGAATGCTCATGAGCTGTCATACAAATTTGTGATTCTCCACAGAATTTCAATTGTGTCGTAGTTGTATTTTACTTTTTAAATGACATCGATACCTTACAAAATGTAGAAACTGCTATTCTTAAAGTCATGGTGAAAGTATAGTCTACAGTTTCACAGTTGGTGAGGAGTATGTTTTCACACGCAGGAGAAGCTTGGCGTGAGTGCTTTTAGTTGCTGAGCCACTACCTAGCCCTTTGCATACTCATTATTTGAACAGAATTTTAATTAAATAATTGTTTCTTTCAACACTGACAAGATACAGGAAGAATAAAGGGGACTCCAGAACTTGATGCATTGTAGAATATGAAGATAAAATATTTTAAATATAATCATATTCTATGTAGAACTGCCCCTTCAACATTGTCCTCTCCTCATATTTGTGGCATCTAGCACACACATGAATATGAGCACACACCTAAACTTGCACATACACACAAATAAATAAATTTTTAAAATGAGAAAAAAAATTTAAAGCAAAATTTTGTTTATCTTAAGGTTTTCAAAAGTTAAAGTGATGCCATGTTTTGCTCTTGTTTTCATGGTCTTATTGCTATCTTTGCTCTATCGGAGAAGTATGCCACAGTAATTCTTTTTATATGTGTGTTTGTTTTACTAGTTTCATAGCTTCTGCAATGCACAGGTTGCATACATGTATTTGTTATCCGGTGTCTCTTGGTAATCAGAGCTGTTCTGAGAATGTTAAGTTCTCAGGTGTCTGCCTTGTGCAAAAGTTATATGCTATAATATTTCTTTGTAGAACGTTTACTCTCAAAAATTAGCTACATATCTGGGCAGTGGTGGCACACACCTTTAATCCCAGCACTTGGGAGTTAGAGGCAGGCAGATCTCTGTGAGTTCGAGGCCAGCCTGGTCTATAAGAGCTAGTTCCAGGACAGGCTCCAAAAACCACAGAGAAACCCTTTCTCCAAAATGAACAAACAAACAAACAAAAAAAAAGCTACATATTATGGATCACAATTTGCTACTAAGATACCAACTCTCAAAAGAAAAGCAATTTATTCATACAAATGTATTTAGCTTGAAGAAAATTAAGCCTCATATTCTACATTTCTTCAGTCTAAACCTGATGTATTGCGTTTAGGTGATAACCCTGGCCAGTGGGAACGTACCACACCACACCATCCACACGCAGCCAGTTGGAAAGCAGTTTGACCGTGTGGATGATTTTTTCATCCCGACCACGACACTTATTATCACCCATATGAGGTAAGTGCTCAGACGAATGGCCTGTTTTTAAAGTTTTCTCTCTAATCTTAATAAAAGGCACAAAAAAATCAAGAACCAGCTTATTTATAAAAGCAAGTGCAAGTAATAGTTGCATGCGATTTTTAGCTTCTCATATGTGCTAATGCAATTGATTGGGATTAGCGGTGAACTTACCGCCATGAATTTCTTTCCATGTCTAATGAACAAACTTCTAACAACAAAGTGTATTTTGTCATTTGAATCAATTTAACTCTGATACTTTTCTAAATTGTTATTAGTTTTTCGCCCTATGATCTTGTAAGATTTTCATATTTCCTGAAAAGAATGAAATCATTCTGATGAACGAATCAATTCTCAAATGGAGAGAACGTGTGTTGTCGTGTGACACAAGGAAGAACCAGAGGTTCGGATGTCTGTTCAGTGTATCTGATGATACCACAGTGTTGGCTTACGTTGAGATCAATATGAAATCACACTAGGAAGTACAATAAGTTCATACGGAATATCTAAAGCATACTCTTTCTAAAGTGGTACTTTTTCTCTCCGTCCAATTATTTACAAGGTGTGTAGGTAATACTCACTCAAAGAATGGTATCTGAACAAGGCCCCACAGCAGCGGTTGAAATGCTTGCCTATGCAGACAGCATTGACATCAGCCTTTTGAGCCATTCTCGATTACTGCACATAGTTGACATATTGCCCGAAAATTGTGGTTTTAGCCTCAGAAGGATTTCTACATGGCAGACTATGAGGGCTGATGATAATCAGAAAGACAACCAAATATTATCTACAACCGGAGATGTCATTTAATTTCATTGCTGTGCATTATTGAAATGAATTTAAAGTTGTGGTTGATGATCCTTCTAATGCTTTAGCATTTATATTCCCGTAGGACTGTATACTGACGTACATGGCTGCCTACTCTGTGCTCTGTAAGAAATTGAAGTAATGGAGAGTGAACATTAACTATAACAATTCTATCTCCACGTAGAACCTAATTTTACTGAACAAAGATGATCATCAAATTTCCTATATTTCAGCTCAAAGTAATTGTCCCAACTGCTGCAATAATGATGATCAATAACAACAACAACAAAAATATGGTTCCTGTTTCACAAATTAAATTGTTTATGTACTGTTTCTTTAAAACAACTAGAATTTATTCCACGCTTGAAGCACCGTGGGAGTTAACATGATTTGTTTTACCAATTTTGTGGAGTAAATTGTCAAGTGAATTTCCCGTGTGTGTGAATGTGTTGGGACTGGATTTCTCTGAACTGTGTATTCATAATTTGACAGTGCTTCCTCACTTTGTGTTTCAAATACACTTTCACGTCTTTGGGAATGGCGCCTGGCACAGAATGAGTGTTTGATGAATATTGGCTTTCCTCCTCTGCCCTGGCCTGTCGTTAATCTGCTTTATTCCCAGATTGCATCATCTTTAATTCGTATAATTGATATCTTAACGTCTGGAACACACCTGGGCCACAGTCAGGACCTTCTATTCTTAATGTCAGAAGTGAGGGATGTTTAATTTATGTTTGTCAAGGGAAGGAGGAATGTGACCCATGTCCTATGATTTGGCGTGGGGAAGAGCTGCCTTTCAGACATACTGGGTTTCTCCATGTCATGAAACATTCAGGCCACATGGATCGTGTGGAAATGGAGAACAGTGGCAGAAACTCCCAAGACTGGGTTGAGTCTCAACGAAAGGATTGCAGTTTTAAGATTCTTCTCTTGCGGCTTTCCATGGGCCTTATGGCAGAAAGTGAGGGAAAACAAAAAACTTAGGAAGTTTATGCAGCTGGAGTTAATTCTCCATGCATGCCTTGGGCCCGTCGATGTGGAGTCTTGCTTTCTATGAATGCTTTTTGGTACAGTCAAAGAGATAATTATAGGCTGCAGAGGCACTGCTCAGCCCAGTAAGCAGGGACTAAGTCTCTCTTCCCGAATTCAGCTCTTACTTGCTTTGTTAGCTGCTGGCGTTGGCTCACCTGCTGCTTGTCCTTGCCAGTCATGGTCCTTGTAGGCGTTGATAGTTTCTGACACTGGATTCTGCTTTTTCCTCATCAAGTTCGGGTGACCAATTTGTAAGAATCCCGTCAGACTTTGTTTTTCTGCACATGAAAAGGCAACTCTTGTCACTAGCAACACTATTGTCACCGTATTGCAGTACACCATTTATTTCATTCTAAAGACTGATACGAAATATTGCTTGAGTAATCCTTTGTCCAGTGATTGCTGTCTGGACAATTCATGACTGACATAGGCAAACAGCATTACTTTGGGGTTGGTTGTAATTATGCTAAAAGTCTGTATATTTCTTGCTCTGGCTTCATTCATATATTTAACCTGTGCCTCATATCTTCATCACCTATTTTGTTTCTATAAATATAATCTTTAGGAATATTTATTCTTGTCACTCAGGTAGGTCAAGATGGAAGAATTTAAAATACCAAAATGAATATGATTGTTTGACTCCAAAAGGACTTCAGTATTACATCCTTGTATTGTTATTCCTTTTAATTTATATAGTGAAATACACACTCATAGGTTTGAATTTTAAGAATCATCAAATTTTCTGTTTTGTGATATATATGGACATATGTGGCATACATATGTATATAACTATTTGTGTGCATGTATATGCTTGAATACTTTTTATATCTATAATACAATATATCGTGTTACAAAATTTAAATGTACATGACAAAATACCGTAATGATGTCACTTATTATACTAGATTTTTATCAATATTGTTTACAAAAGATACTAAACTTCATAAAATTCAGAGAGTTTATTTAAACATATCAAAAAAAATCTTGAAATCCTCAGGCTGTTCCTGAGGCTTTCTTTTCTTTTAGTTCTCCATATTAGATAGAGTGCAAGTAGAAATTTTAATCCCTCTATGCTAAATAAACTGATGTCAGGTGACAGGGGACATTCCTACGAGTTACAAGAAAGCTAGAATGTTATTATGTATCTAACTCAAAGACCAGTCCTGTAAGGATTGGTAGAAGCAGCGGTACTACTCTCCTCCCTTTTCTCATATCCTTCTTCATGCAATGTTTTAATGTGTATGTGCCCAGGCACAGGTGTCCTTCCTTGATCAATGATCAATGATTGAGTTTTACTGAGGGCTTCTTAAGATAAGCACAGATTAAAACAGAATATTGAAAAATTCAATTTCCATGTGATTACATTGCTCTGAACAAGATCCACGGAGCACAGAAAGCAAATACACACTATCGCTCATGTGGAAAGGTTTTTCTCATTTGCCCCCATTTCTCACTCTTTATTACAGTATGATGCTCTTCTGGACTGAATTCCTCAGTCTGGTTGACCCTTCAGTTTGGAAAGAACAAGGCTAGTTGGTAGGCATTCCTTTATGATTATGTACATAGGAATGTTTGAGGAACAATCAGTCAGTAAGACCTTAAGGACGTGTGAATTCTCAGATGGGCCACAGCCCCAACCCAGCCCAGTGTCAGCACTTCATAGCAGCTGACACAGCAACAGCATAAAGTGAGAAGCAGGAGAAAGAGTCCTGCTGTCTGAGAGTGTCAACAGTGCACGTTTCCTGTTATCAATTACAGCAAAGAAATGGTTAAGAGGACGTTGGGTTTGATATATGTCCCCTTAAAACTCCTCCAAGGAGAAAATATTTCTCCTGCAGGGAAAGTAAACATTCTGTGGAAGTTAAAGTACATCATTCCCCTTCATTTCTATGAAAAATGTTGGAGCAAAATTATATATATATAGAGAGAGATGCACGTGTGTATGTGTGTATGCTGAGACATAGATCAGTAAAGCATTTTCTTGTCAGAGATAGAGCAGGGATGTAGAGTCACAATGTTCCCACTAAAGTTGGCAGCTGGCATTTGAAATCTTCTCACACAAATAATGGAGAAGATATGTTGGTCAAGAGCAATGGATAAAAGTTCTGTCTCCTAATCATGGGCGGCAATTCAAGGGGTACTATTATAGCCTTTAATATTAGCATTTTTGAAGCAAAAGCAAGTAGACCTCTGTGAGTTCAAGGCCAGCCTTGTTTACAAGATTTCCAGGCCTACTAGGGCTACGTAGTGAAACTCTATTTCAAGAACAAACAGGCAAACAAACAAACAAACAACAGAAAAAAAAAACAAAATAGACCAAAGAACAGAAAGAAAAAAATGTAAAATTATTTTTAAATGCAAATCTTATAAGAAAACCTCAATTCAGTGCAATAATTTTATTTCATTGTTGCTTACAAGCTAATCAACTCATACAGAGAAATAAGACAACAAAAGCCAAACAAAAATGTGTCTAAAGGAAGTAAATCACCAAACTCTGTAAACTCTCAAAAGGAATATTAAGATATTACCAGTTCAGAATACTTATTTATTCCATCTCTGCAGCTCAACCAGAAGTCAGCTTTAAATTAACAGGACCTGTGAGTGAGCTCATCACACCCCAAGGCCAAGCAATTTGTAAACTGTTTAATAAAATGGTACATACATACACATATGTTTAACACACACCTACATCTTCAATTTTTTCTTAGCAAAACTTCCAGTATTTTTTTTGTGTGTGTGTGTGTTCAAAGCATGGAATTTGAAAATCTTGGATAACTTTATTTTATTTCTTTTTTAAATTAACTTGTAAATTTACCATAAACACCAGTGGACTTCCTGTAAGCATTTTGTCCATGTGTACCCTTATACTTGGTTCTAATGAGCTTGTGCTGCCTGGTCTGTCCACTCATCTCCCTTACTTGGTCCCTTTCTCACAAAAAATAGTTCCCCTACATCCTTCGGTCGCTACCATTTCCACCACTACTTAAGTTCACTTCCTTCTGCTCCTGCATTCCTTTCTAGTTTCATGATTTATACTTCCCACACACATATGCCTATATACATGTGCATACACGTACAAATAAAAATACACACACACACACAAATCTGGAGTCTACATATGATTGAAAATATGCCATATTCCCTGTTTGGTTTATTTCATT